TTACAAAGCATTCTCCAGTTATAAATAAATTGGAAATTATGTCCCAAAGTTTAGTAAATAACATTAAATTTGGAAAATACAACACTCACTTTTATTTCATTTAAAAATCATTATGTTATTAATACTTGTGCCTCATTTGTAACCATGTTAAATAATCAGGGGTTAAAAACTAAAAGTGGAATATTGGTGAATTAAGTAACTTCCAAAGTTGTAGAAGTTAGGCAGCATTTGGCATAAGACCTTTAATTTTAATGTTAACCAATTTTTGCCTAGAGGTGCTAGCGTCCTTGTCTTCTCTCTCAGGCCATCAAAAATGATGGTTCTTCAAAGGAAAGCCTCCAATATGCCTGTCTCCTTTAGATTAGTCAGAGACTTTTGATGCTTTGTAAGATCAATGCCTATATCAACCTGAAGTCACCATAAGAAGATAAACCTTTGGCCCTCCTGCGTGCCTCAAGACTAAGGAACCAAAGAAGAATTAAATACAGGTAGGAAGCAGACAAAGACAATCATAATTTTAAAACTGCACTTTTACGAAGACTATAACTTTAGAACACAAAGTTACCCAACATTATCTATATGTGCATTCTTTTTTTTATTTATGCTTCATTTCTTCAGATCCATGACACTAATATCCCTCAAAGGCTTTATTTCCACAAATTAGCTTAGTTGATAAGATAAAAGACATAAATCTGATCAGGAGAGAAACAGATTCAAAGATTTTAAAGAAGGTTTTTAGGCGAAACATCTTCAATCACTCAGATTTTTAAAAAATGCAAAAGAAAAGGCCCGTGCCTTTCTCCCACAAAATGGGCTATCATTTTACTTGTAAAACGAGCCACTGTTTCTCTACCTATGAGTGCACGATCATTTTTCTCCTGTAAATCAAACCCAAATTTTCCAAGGATTCACAAGTCCACAGATTTCCACTGCCAAAACCAGGTAAATATTCCCAGTGCTATATTACAGTGTGCTCTCTAGGGACCATAATCTGTGTTTTTGACTGTGTGTCCTACCTAAAAGAGCCCATTATGCCTCTTTAAAAATCATTTATACTCATATTAAAATAGTTTAAAGCATGACTATTAGAATAACTTCCATATAGTGCCAGCATTTTCTTTATAATTTTGCCTTCAATTTACAGGAGTATTTTAAAGTTACTTTATGTATTTGCCCCATTAGACCTATGATATTGAATAAGAATTATTTTAGTTCTATTCTGTTAGTCTTATCTTAACTACCTACACACGTCAAATTTATTTTATGAGTCAGTGTGTTCTCTCGACCGGTCTCTGTCTCTTTCTATCTCTGTCTGTCTCTGTCTCTGTCTCTGTCTCTGTCTGAATCACACTGTCTCTCTTTCTTTCTGTCTGTCTGTCTTTCTCTCCTTGTAGTTCCAAGTTGCTATTTCACTGATCTCTATCCCAGTTATGAGTATGGCTAACATTTCCTAATGTGTATAAATATCAAGATAAGGAAAAATCTTTGAAGTACAAATTAAGAATAATGTTAATGTTAATGTTATTAAAGAATGTTGATTCTTTAATAGTAAATTATAAGCTTACATGCAATGGCAATTTCTAGTTCAGATTCTACATTTTTTTAGGCAGAAAAGAAAAGAAAATACAAATTAGGAAATAACATTTTAAGTCTTATGAGCGTGTGTCTAGGGCTTAATGGAGAGAAAAATGTAAGAGACAAAAGGAAATCATGAGAGGCCCATGTGCATCTCCTGCCCTGGAACAAACGAGGTTAGTACGTAGGTGAAACATAAAGCAGAGAACAGCCTGTGTGAACATGACTGTAGAGAACAGAAAAGCGAAGGAGAAAGTAGCCAAATTATGAAACCAGGGCAAGTTTGCAAGGAAGAGAAAAAGAACGAGCACAATTGTGAGGGTAAAAATGAGAGGCGTTAAAGTGCAAAAGGACATGGGTCTTGCAAGAGACTTGCAGTTACACAAGGCAAAAGAGAAGGACCACGGAAATGTCCTCCTTAATAACTGGGTGACAAAGTTGTTAGACAACTGTGAAAAGACTGAGGCCTCCAGTGTGTCCTCTCGCTCTTTCTCCTTTTAAAAGGTTGAAATTGCTACCAGTTGAGGTAGGCTAACCATTTCACTTCCAACACTAACTACAATCGGCAAACCAGTAATTGTACATTTTTCTAAAATCTAGGCCTACTGTATTTGCACTTCTATATCCTTAAGATTTTATAGATATGATTACAGAATTCTCAGTCTTCTGTGATATCCTGTAAGATATTCTATTGTGAAGCTTAGAAACACTGCATGTCTTAGTACTGACAGAGAGTATGCAGCGGTGTTCATAGTAATGTATATTGTACTGCATTTACATAAAAATTTATGAAAGAAAAAGTGTAACTTAGTGGAATTTTAGATTCATTTTAATTCTTACAGAGACATTAGAAAGCTAAGTACCTGAAATATACCAGCCTCCAGATTATAAATACAAACATATTAAGATGTCTAGAAACTTTAGCACATAAAGGAAAACAGTGTCCTTCACTAAACACTGTAATCCCAAATGAGAAATTCAACATGCTGGTATTCACAGTCAATGAAGTACACAGCATACGTTCACTCATGAATAAAACCAGCATGTAGCCAGACCTCATGAAATGTATACACTAGAGAAGTTAAAAATTACTTTTCTGATCTTTATTTGATGTGTTTCTTTCCTATTTTTCTGAAACCAGTCTTTTCCAAGGAAAACTTTGTTTTGTTTCTCATTTGAAAAGAGAATAACTCACTAATTTTGTTCTGTTGATCATCCAGGTATTCAACATTCCATAGCAAGGAGAAAAGGTCAATAATGATGTATGTAAATCTTTAGCTCAAGCCTCTATGATGAGGTCTTTCACAATTTTGAACTTTTGTGGCATTTCCAAATTCTTGATGAATTTTGGTCTTTGATATTTGGGAAAGATCTATCAGTATTCAGAGGAATTTTCAAGCATCATCAAAATTTAAGTCATTTTGTATTTTTCATAATACTTATTTGTATGTTTTAAAATAACAATGGATAATCATTATAACCAAAGTGAGGGATTTTCTGTGATAAGATCGTCCCTCTATATACATCTGATTTATTTATGTCACCTCTTTCTCTTCTCTCCTCTTTCTCCTCTGCCTCTTCCTGTATAGTTTTGACTGGTCTTAACCTAGTAATTCTCCAGCCTCACTTCCCCTGGTGCTAGGATTATGTGTGTGTCACTTCAATGTTTTTCTTCTTATAAGGAAACCAGTTATTTTGAATTTTGATTTTAATGACATAATGAACTTAGTTACCCTTGTAAAGATCCTACCTCTAGTCACAATCACATGTTGTGATCATATTCTATGAGACTAAGATTTCAGTTTTAGGAAGCCCTAATTCAGCCCCTAATACCACTGATTTCAGGTGAAGAGGAAGAGCCAAAAATGCTGATTTATGGAGGTCTCTGCTAGTAATAGTTTTATTATCAAATGTCAGTGTCAAAATAAATCATTCTTTGTTCTTAAAAGATGTGATTGATCCCAGCCAGGTGTGGCGGCTCATGCCTGTAATCGCAGCACTCAGGAAGCTGAGACAGGAGGAGTGTTGTGAGTTCAAGACCAGCCTGGACTACAAAGTGGACTCAAGGCCAGCCTGAACTGCAGGCTGGCCTTGAGCTAAAAAAAAAAAGGGATGTCATCACATAAATGGGCACATAATTATACCCCCTCACATTTATTACTGTGGCATTTTTGTTACAGAAAACATTGGTCACTTTTAGCACAATCTTTTGCAATATTTCCTCATGTCATTTCTCCAGCCCTTCACGAGACCCACAAATCCTGAGTCATCTCGTCAATTAATCTCCCATTTGGTCTCTGTCTGGCCAATAGTGCAGTGGTTACACGGGTTTCCTTACTGGCCTGTTTCCTGATTTGCAGTTGCTCTCCCCCTGCCCAGAACAGTAGTCTCCAAGACTACTCTATGACACCTGATAGTCATTTAAGGAATATTTTTTGAGTGAATATGGATTAAATTTAAAGATTTGCATTAAGATACAATTAAAACTATTTAGTTTCAAATTATGCCATTTCAGCTGTACAATCTTCTGCACAAATAATACCTGGAAACTGTTGTTACTACAGTGTATTCTCTGGCCAGGTCAATAAGACATACAATACAAACACTTCATTTTAATTTGTGTAAACTGGTTTGCAATCACTGATCTTTCCTGAGCAGCCCCTCCTTGTGTAACCAGTTCTAACTGTAGTACATGGAGGGCTGAACATATGTAGCTCAGTGGCACAAGCACCTGCCTGTCAAGTGCAAGCTCCTGAGTTTGATTCCGGGTACAAAAGGAAAAAAACCAGATAGCAAGCAAAAATGAGCAGAGTTTTGTCCTCTGGGCTCTTCATTAAGTCTTTGCCATTTTAAAAGTCTTTTTGATGTGAGTATAAGATTTCAGAAACAAATCCCCACATACATCCATTCTTTTATTATTTTGCATAAATAGAATGTCAATTTTAAGCTTGGTGCTTGGGAAAGTGAATGGGGAGGACATTTTTCATCCTGCCTTGTAAATGGCTGTGGCTGTGAGACTACTTCCAGTCCAGGGAATGTCAGTGTAAGACAGCAGCTCAAACTGAACCAGCACATACCCCTTGCTGTCTCTTTTCTGAGCCCTGCTTTTCCACCCAGCTGCCTGGAATACAGATAGAATGGCGGGAACCTTAGTTGTGAATTTGCAATACAAGAAATATCCCTTCCCAGGAGATAGTGAATGGGCTCCAAAGAGTTTAACTCCCCAGAGCTTTGGGAATCACAGCAACATCGACATTTTGCTTCTCTCTTTATGTGAGAAAGAAACCTGTTATGTAAATTATTGTTGTTTTACACTCACACACTACCAAAAGCAATCCTACTTCAAACATCTCATAAACTTTAAAGCAAAATGAGTGATTTGCTGAATCATTTAAAAGAAAAGAATCAAAACACGGAAAACTATCTGCAATAATAATCAAAGGTCTTTATTTTCTATATTTACTTCTTACAATCATTTTGGAAAAATAGTTGTGTCTCCAAATCTACTTTCACTGAAAGAAGCTGATACGACTAAATATTATTCAGAAGTATTATGGAAAAATATTTATTCCTGAAAAACAAGCATTCTATTCCGTTTATATTTTGCACATACTTCACACAAGCACAAAGGGAAGGTCCACGGTCAGAAGTGCAATCTCTTAACTGAAGTCCAAGTCAAGTCTCTTAACTGAAACACTAAGTCAGAAGAAAGCCTTTGGTAAATAGAGACCTAAATTTGAGGGGTTTTTTTAATGCAATAGCAATAAAGCTGTCTATAAATGTGAAAACAGAAGATCCTGAAAGTCTGTCTTAAGAAAGTCTTTATCATTGTTGTTGATGTTCTCTTACCTATTCTGAGATTTAGTTAACAGCATTCTCTCTGCTTAACATTCAAATGTAGATACACTGCTTATTTGCTCTACTTTTCTGAATAGTGAACTCTATAAATAAACTCATCAGTTTGCTTCTGTCATTACCCTTCCAGAAAACCTCTCACACAGCTGTAATTAATCTATTGTCTACTTATCATTAAACATATTTTTGTTAGAGAATATATAGCATCTGAAATTACAGACCTCTTATAAGCTAAAGACAAATTTTAGGACTTTCTAATAATATTTACAATGTAAACATCACAGTTATTACATCAGAATAAAATAAATCACCACATTCACAACACAGTATATTTTATTTGGTTTTGCTATTGAAGTTGTTTTCTTGAAATAGTTATGTAGAACTCAAAATGTAAATTACTTTGTCTTCAAGAATTCTGAAAAAGAAAGAATTAGTACTTCAAACAAAGATATTTTTATTTACAGGATTATAATCTCATTCACTTAACCACTCATTTAATAAACGTGTTTTTCTTCTGCCCTTGTCAACAGCCTGTGGCATGCAATTGTATTCTGGCACAATCAAGGGAAAATCTTCCCGTAGACTGATTGTCATAAAGAAACTGAAATGTGAAGGGCACTATAATTAGTCATTAATAATTATATATGTGTACTGTTCGCAAATGGATAACTCACAGAACTTTCTGCTTAGAAAACCTATCCAAAGCATCCTTTCCATAAAGAATACAAGATAGGATTTCTTATGATCTTGCAATTTACAAAAGATTGTCTTTATGTTTTAGTGTCTGTCGTATTTTTTAATCTCAATGAAGAAAGCTTTGTCTTAAGAGTTTTTCAAGAAGCTGATGTGATTAGCTTTCATCTTGAGCAAAGGACTTGTTTCTCTGAAATGTCTACACTTAATAAGGTATTGATGTGGGCAGTTTGTGGCTATATACTTCCTTATAAGGGGATAATCTCATCAGGGGACAAAGGTACCTGTCAGGAAAATGTCTTTTAGAAACTTAAGGCACTCTTGATGCCTCTTGAGCACTTTACATCACCACACCAGGAACTGTTGTGATATTGTGAATTATCATGAGCCTGTTTCGAACTAATTTCCTTAACCTTGTCAGGAGTTGAAACCCTGCCCAATTTTAACCTCTACAAACAAGATTTTATCGAAACACAAATGTTTCTATTCACTTTACATATTATGTGTAACTCTCTTTGTGCTGAAATAATAGTGTTACATAGTTATATCAGGAAGCAGACAGTGCACATAGCCAAAAACATTTCCTTCAAAACCCTTTAGGGATAAATCTGCTGATATTTGGTATGTTAATGACTTGAAATTTCTTTAAGCACTTGCCCCATATTATAAAGATTTGAATGAATCAATACAAACATTTAATTTAAGAAAGAAATATGTTTTGCTGCCATATTTAGTATAGTGCTCATGTTCACTTACGAGCCAAAATTTGAATTTTGCAGCATGACATTTGCTTATGTGAAGAACACAAACTCAGGGTGTCCTGGTGTACTCAGAGTAATGTTCTGTGCTATAATTTGGTGATATTTTCCTATATCTAAATTAAAAGAAGAGCTAGTGGACAATTTGGGACTATATCTTAAATTAATAAAAGCAGTGTGGTTTAATTCTCAATAATAAAGTCAGTTTTTCTCATGAGTGTGAGTCAGGCTCCCTTGTTTTGTTCATCTTGACACAAAGGTAGGAATAAGGCTGAATAGAGCAGGAATGCCACGCAGATCCCCTACTGTGTGTGCTTTGTGAGCAGTATCTTTTGTGTGATCAGAACATTGCATGAGTCATTTTCAGCTGTTTACTGGGTTGGATTCACTTAAGAAAGAGGGGCTCTTAGATGAGGGCTCACGATAAAAGAAATTATTCAGCCCTAAGATGTTTTGTGCCCAGTGACTCTTCCCAATATGCATAATTAGATAATGGTTATAAGAATACATTGAGAATGCACAAGTATACTCACCACTTGTTTTGCTCCAAAGAGCTTTTAAATATTATTTTCCTAGCTCTTCAGTCAAGTCAGGAGGTTGTTGCTGAGTGCTGTGGGTCAGAAGGAGCAAACTGTTCATGGTAAGTCTCTTAGATGCGAATGCTTCCCCAAAGAATGATTATGACATAATGAGTAAGCTATTCTCTTTGCTCTGCAAGATGCATTGAGACTAAACAGTCATCCCTGAGGTTAGTTGCTACTTGTGAATTGTTCCTCAGTCTTAGAGTAGCTAAAATTATTCTTGTAGACTTATGATCAGTGAGAAAGGAAAGTAAGATTTTCTGATTTCACCCAAACAGAACTATACTTAATACTCATCATGTACACAAAATTAACTGGAATTTAAAAACATAAAGCATTTCACTCCCTTTCTCTCCAGTCCAATATTTGCACACCATAGAGAGATGTGGGTTTAGAACTTTAGTATACAAAATGATTCGGCTGAATTTGATAAGTATGTTGAACATCCACATTGAAGGAGGTTCCATGTACTATCAAATGGCTAATTGTAGTTCCCATGTTTCAACACTTTTGATGAAACCTATTCCCAGATTCAGACTAGCCATCATGTTTAACTGGAGTGGTATGGCAGAATCAGCTGGAGAGATATTTTAAAATGAAAAAATAGCATTGAGGTCTGAACTCCCAGAGGAACTGATTCCTGGCATTTGGTTTTAGGTAAGGCCCAGATATTAGTATTTATGAAATTCTCCAGGGAGGTTTAAAATTAGCCAATGTTGAGAATGACTGCTTCTCAGGGCATCCGTAGTGAGTGAGGTAAAGAAATGTCTACATGCTTTAGCCCATTAGATGGCTTCATAGCTTACATTTTGAAAGTCATTTACTATTTCTCATTTTTAAAAGTTTCTTTCTTTCTTCCGTTTTTTGTTTTACCTCCTTTTCCCATTCAGAACTGAATTCAAGTACTTCTTCATAGCCATTTGTTTTCTAAGGCGAGTGTAGGTGTCAGTGAAGAGGGCATCCGAGTGACGTCTGTTCCGTTCAGGGTCCTCTAAGATGTCAGGGTCCTCTGAGATGTTACTGCTGAGGAGTGTGAGGAAAAGGAAATAAGAGTTTAACGAGTGGTAGACGTGCAAATGTCGCAAGTTATTTGATAATGAGACTCATGCAGTTTGAGTGTAGATGCGTAAATGGTTGGTACTTAGGAAAACTACAGTTGTCTGAAATGAATCAATATATTACTAAAAAGGCAGAGTTCCTAAACGCATGGACTTTGTTTTGTTCAAGAATACACATTTTTATTTAGCTAAATTGAACAGTGCCAAAGAGTTCTCAAGTTTTGAACAAGGTTAATAATTTAACATCTGTGAAATATAACTTACGGATTGATATGTTTGATAAAAAATTATGAATTCTCTTTACCTAACTCGCTTTCCAATCAGAGACTCAAGGTATTTCCTGGCAGATAGTTGACCCAACAGCCTACTATAGTCACTGGTGAAAACTCCATCAGCATGTCTGGTAATTCTAAAACAAGTAAGAAAGTATAGCTGTTATTTTGTAAATCATTTTCTGGAGTATCATTTTAATTTTTAAAAATGGGGATTATCAACTTATTATAAAAACTACTCTTTAAAATCTAAATCCAAAAAGAAGTTTCTTAATAGTCTAACAAAAGATATTTTCTAGCAACTAATATCAACATTTTTCTTTATCTCTAGCCAAGACTGAAAAATTTAGAAATTAAGCAGTTTTAAAAGTATATTTTGAATATTTCATCATTATTATGCTGTGAATCTTTTAAGTGGATTTATTGCTAAGAAATATTATCTATAGTATATTTCAACCATTTTCTACTTGCTATTTTGTTTTTCTTCCTGCTAGTCTAAATAATGATGCACGCAGTGGGAAAATACGTTGATTTTAGAAAATTTGCAATCATACTACACTTTTGTTATTTATTTTACCAGAATACTGGAGACAAACCAGGATCTTAGGACCCACAACCAACTTTTCCATGCAAGTGAGAAACCTTGTATTCTTTGTCTTTGGCATGAAGCTATTTAGTCTACAGTAAAAAGTTACTCAAAGGAGCAGTTCTGTGAATGAACAGTTCTAACAGAGTCTTTAAAAAAAAAAGCATAAAGATGAAACTTTCCACAGCAGCTCTTCCATTAGCAAATCTGAAATGCAGTCATTTCAGACCCCATCTACAATTTTGAAATTGTGTACAAGAGAATGTATGTGAAAGACGAACATCCATCCCAATTTTTTACAAACTGGTGCATGACAATTATATGCAGCTGCTAAAGCTGCTTTAAATCACGTTGAATGAAGCCATGACGTATGAGAGTGGTAGTGTTATCATAGTAGTAGCTCCATAGTGAAGTGAAACTCGGACACTTCCAGAATAATTTTCTAAATAAAATAAAATGATACAAATAAACGCACCTGGATTCATCATAATAGGGTGTGTCACTTTCAGCTGGTGCATTTTGCAAGATGCCAGAGTCTGCTCTTAATGCGACTTGATCATGGTCATTTGCTCCTTCGAATGGTATTCTCTCATTCATCCTACTAGGGGAAAATGTGTTAGAAGTATAATACATTCGTTCCTCAGAATAGTTTGCTCATGGTTTGGCAACGATTTGAAATAAGATACTCAAAATCTTAAAAAATATCACCAATTCATAATATAAAACAGAACAACTTGAAGGGCTTCTGTGATTTATGAGAGCACAGAAAATTTATGAGAGCATAGAAAATTTATTGTTATCCCATGAAATAGAAGCCATTCAGTGTCTGTAAGCCAGCTGTAGCAAGCAGAAGTGCTACATAATTCAATCCTACAAGAACGCTAAGGAGTGTACACTTCCTTGGTGTACTTCACTACATCAAGAGTATTTCCACTTTGCAGCAGCATGAATAATAGGTAAAAAGACTTACATAAAATAGAAGTAAGCTATGTATTCAGTGTTAAAACTGAAATCAATTTATGTATGATTACTATAAATTTGTGTGTGTATGTTTACTATAAATTTTCCCAAATATCTCTCAAGATTTGAATATTTTCTGCTTTTGTCTTTCTAGTCCCTAAATATTGCTACAAAGATTTTCTTTGGTATGATATTTTCTCCTGCATTCATCAAATCTAAAGAATCTTTTCATTTATGAATTTTCCCTCAGGCTCCATGAATTTTTTTGAGGTCTCTGATCTTATGTATTAATACAACTTTTCTAAGGGATAATTTGACTATACGTGAAAATTTAATGTTTTTGTGGATGCATGAACATTTTAAACAGTGTACTATTTGTGTGTGTGTGTGTGTGTGTGTGTGTGTGTTCACAATTAGTTCAAGTCTTCAAGGAGGTACAAAGTCCTAGGCACTTCTTGGATCTACAGGCTAGGAATCAAGGCAAATTTGAGTAGTTCTGTGACTGTTTAACAGTCATCATATAATATTCAGATATAGCCATTGTTTTGTAATTGTTGAAGTAACCATTTGACTTTGAACAAATTTCACAGAGTACATTAACATCTGAGAGAGTATTCATTGTCTTAAGCATATCTGGAGCAAAGAATCAGGAATGGGTAAATAAAAATTATTATTTGTCTTCAGATATAATACTACCTATAAACTGAAAGAAATCAAGCTACTATAGATTTTTTTTTACTTTTTGCCTGTTTAACATAAATTTATTTTGTGTCAAGTGAAGATTTGTGGTATTTTTTTTTTAGCTTGAAATATGGACTACATATCCAAGGATTTTTAGTTCAAATCAAGTACATTATGGGGAACTATATCTCACTAGATCCATTTTCTCGCATTTTATAGTATTGGCAGTGTGATTTTGCCTAGATTTCTGTTCATTATAACCTTACAAATATTTCCCTAATAAACTTCTAATTTTACAATTATATACTGATTGCCTTTGAAAATGAAACTAAATGAGTTTGACTTTGAAACAACTTCTCCCCCAGAACTTGTACTGAAGTAAGGTAACAGTTAATGAAAGTTTATCCTCACCTAACTCTGGCTTTGAGTAACAGCCAAAACTCCTTTCTTCCCCTGATAAGTTCTATAGGTGAAACTAACACTGATAGTGTCTCTCAGGCTCTGAAAGTGAATTCTAGGATTGAGACTACCATAGTGACTTGCTGTTGGAAAATAATTTGCTCAACACATCAAAGTATTTGAAGGATAAGTGGTTTGAAATATTTCAGTGTCCAAAATAATATAGGAAATTCCAATTTAGAGAAAGAAGAAATGTTCAGTTGTCTGATTATGAGTGAACTTATCTCAGAGGGAAGCTTACCTCAGAGCAGACGGTGGTCCGAACACAGGCCAGGTCAGTGCTTGTGAGAAGAGCACACTGAGAAGCATCAGGACCACAAGCAGCTGGGGCCTGCTCCTGGCTTCCATCTCAGCCTCTGGAGACAGACAATCACATCAGCGTTGCCAGTCCTAATCCCCAGCGAGGGAATGCTGAGAGGCTAGGGGTATTTGTGAAGGCTTACAAAGGGTACGGAAACAGCAATTTTTCTCTTCAAGCTAAAGAGTTAAAGTGCAATATGACTGCTTTTCAAATCAAGCAGATTTCCCTTGGTGAGAAGTGTTTGAGAAAAAGTAAGATTCTTTTTTGTGTGATGTCCATCTCTTTCCAGGCACTTCATTGGCCCAAGTATATATTAACTATCACTCTATCATGCTGCAAATAAGCCTGAGGAAAATATTTTATAATAGAATTGTAGCATCTACTTTTAGTATCTATTGTGATAAAGGAAACAACTTCAAGAAAATGTTTTTGCTACTTTATCCTTTCAGCATCTGACTACTATAAAATCAGAGTATTGCCTATTTAATATTTATGCTCTGGTAAACACACATGAACATGTTTGTGTGTGTATATATACAAATATAGAGTCTATATACTCATGTACATGAAAAAAATTTTCATATACATGACTTTTTCCTCTCTGAATTGTAGTTATTTATGACAACTTCAAGCTTAGGTTTGAACATCTTAACTTTAACAGGAAAATTAACACACAACAGATTTTGCTATAAAGGAAAAATACAAATTTAAAATCAAAGTTTGTGTTTATTGCATTTGATTCACTTATACATTTCATTTCTAAACAATTGGTGTATGAAAGATTAGATCTTTAAGGTGTTTCTCAAAATTTAGATTCAAAATTAAGAGGAAAATAAATTCTTTCCAAATTCACTTAATCAACATGGAAAATAGAAAGAGAAACAAACACTTTAAACTAACTTGAAAACTTCAAAAGTATCAACTGAACTTTTCAGACAGACATCTATATACAAGCAAACAAAGTCTACTCTAATGCATTGTTTTATTTCAAAAAATCAGTATTTAATAATGGGGCAAACAGAACAAAACATCTTCCAAGGACAAGGATTCAGAAAATCTATTCATAAAGAAGAAATTGAGATATTTCTACTCTTAATAGATGATTTGAGAAACTTGTATTTTTTCTCTTGCAGAGAAGAAACATTGTGAGATTTTTTCAAGAGAGAGAAATATTCAGTATAACTCTGAAAAATGTTCTAAGAATAGGAGGAAACAAGAAAGGTAAAGTTTTCACTTGCCTTGTGGGTGATGCACCTCAGGAATCTTCTGCAGGGCGTTGGAGCTGTCTTGGGTGCTGAAGTTCTGGAGGCCAGAGAGGCACAAATGCTTCTCTGCCCCAGCACTGGCTAAGGCTTGGCTGTTAAACCAGCTATTGCTCTGCACTGTACCCTGACCAGCATTTCAAAGTCCGTCATTTTATAGGGCTTATACTCAGGACTGAGCAATCACAAAGCCCTCTGAAAGACGTCACAGGGGATGAATAGGGCTTGACGTTCTTATTAAATTGTCATTATGTCTGATACATATAAATTTATAGTAACTTCAAAATGCAAGATAAAATAGGAAATTTCCTTTTTTAAAAAAACAAAAAGATGAAGCTTAATGCAAAAATGTCTTAATATTTTATTAGTTTCAGTGAATTAAGAGAATGATTATAGTTGTCTAGCCAGGACCGCTGGGGTTCCATTAAAAAAAAAAGGACTTTATGGAGAAACAAGTGCAAAAAGCAAAGAAATATTTATGTTTCTTATATTTATGAATGTATAATTGTTTCTAATTACAAAACATCAATTATGCTAGTGACATCATTTTTATAGTATTCATATGGATTCTGATTTAGTCTTTCTTGATACATATCCTAATTTTGAAAGTAAGCAGAAATAATTTTTACCTTTCTATGATTACTTTATATTTCAGGATTAAAGTTTTAACAAATCTCGTAAGAGAATATAATGTGCACACTCTTAAAGCAGTATTACTGTATCATGCTTTGTACAAAATGTTGTAATTTTCAATTTGTCTTCACATACATTATATCAAATGAATAAAATAAATTATCACATTATAGATCTCAAGATATTGAATAGGAGTTTTCTTTATAAAACTCCTTGCATTATGCAGAATCATATTGTTTACTTCCCTAACTTCCATCACACACAAATCCACACCAGCTTTTTAATATTTCCAACTCAATCACCTTATCAGTGCTTTCAGAGAATTCATTGGAAAGCATTTACAGAGTATTTGATAACTAATTTCTATTTGTGGTCTACTCAATCAAAGTAGCCTAGCATACGTTCAGTTAAGGGTTAAGGTCAAAATATAGCTACACCAAGTGGACAACAAAATGGCCTCCATTCTTTTTAAATAAAATTTTCTTTTTATTTAAAAAACTTAATGTGTGTAGTCTTTTTTTTTTGTCCATTCCTTAATTGAAAATGGCTCTAAAGCCTGCTTTCTTTCTTCTTTGAGATTTTCATATCTATTTGCTGCATTCAAAGTCAGACCGATCCAGTAAAGAATATCTTGCTATGCTTAATCATATTTTCTAATCCAGTTACAAGAAAAATTAAATGAATTAAATTTCAAAATGTCTGGAAATTTGTTTCCCAGTTGACAGCTCTGACCTAAGCCAGAGTTCCTGTGGCTTAATTCCAGGAAATCTTTTTTTAACTGATTATTATAAACTAGAGGTTGAAATTGTTCTCATATGGAATTTTTTTTATCTTTAGCTCTTCGTCACCCAATTCTCAGTGAAGCAATTTTATTTAAGGCCAGAAACAACAAAAGTAAATTGATTAAGGATCACAGACAAATAAATACTGAAAGATAAGCAGAAGACATGAAATTTGATTATTATTTGGCCTTAAGCAAGTACTTAGCATTCAAGAAGAGTAACTATTATGTAGATTTTTCCAAGGTAAAGACAATTTTACACTATACTAAACACAAAAGTAAAGGGAAATAATTCAATTTTCTTACCTCTGAACAAAATAAACTAAATCAAAAACTCCATTCTTTTCGTAAGAGTTTAGATGAGAAAGAAAACCATTGCAAAAAGGGATCATAGCACCATCTGCAGGTTCAAAATCTGAATTCACAGATTTACAAAAATGTATTGCTCTTTCTTTTCCCTTTCTTTTTTCTCTTTGTTTTTTTCAAGGAAATCAAGTGTAAACTAGAGGTCCTTTAGATAGCTAGTGGTTTGGTGCTTCCAGAAAAATAATCATAAGAAAAAATTGCATGAATTTATTCTGAATACATGCTACCATAAACTCAACAAATGCAGCTGTGAAATTAATATTTAATCTGCTTTCCCCTACTTTTGACATCACTGTGGCAAAATTTATTTTCTACTTTAAGGTTCTGCAATAAAGTAATATTTATCACAAAAGGAGCTCGCATTCACCAGGTAGGACACATCTTCAAAATCCTTGCTTTAAGGTGAGGGAGCAATTGAATTAAAAATAGCCAAAGTATGTTTATTGCATTATTCTAGTTTCCCCAAAGGGGCCTCGCTTTGCATTCATTTTTTAAAAATTCTTTTAGAAATAAGTAAACTGATGTCCAGAAATTTAAGTTATTTTTCAAATACTTAGGTGACTAGCATTATACAGAATTGGAAACCAGACCTTCTGATCTTGATGGAGCATTCCTTCTTGTAAGACTGGTAATGTACAATTGTTGTAATTGGCATTACTGATAATAATAGGTCAGGTTATAAGAAATACATCATAAAAATATTGTATAAATACAGAAAAAGCATGACCTTTAACTAAAATGGCATTTCACCTAAAATGTACTGGCTGCAGGGAGATTGAATGGAAAGAATTTTCAGTCTCAGGCAGAAATCCAGATTCACTGCATTGCCTTAGTGCAAAGGGTTACCTGAGGGTCCTCATTTCCAGTAGGGATGATGTGCCTACATCTGTCTCTGTGTGATGGCTCTGGCTGCCCGGTCTCCCTAGCTCATCCCCAGCCCCAAGACTTGCCCTATCTGCAACAGTGATCCTAGGGCTTGAAGACCAGGTAAATTTTGAATCTACTGGTTGTGAGCCAAGTACACTCATCACATTGCTTTTATATCTGTCAAGCTTAGGGTGATGTTATAATTTTAAGTGGTTAAAAAATAAAAGAATACACTATAACATGTGAAAATTATATGAATTCTAAATGTCAATGCCCTTAATGAAATTATGCTCATCACATATGTATGCTCTGTGGTTAGGGCTGTTTTTTTTTGCAAAACAAAAACTTGCAAAAACAAATACTTGCAAAAACAACACTATGCACCTTGCAAATCCTGAAATGTTTATTCTTTAATCTTCATTGAAAATGCCTGACAGTCTCCTATCTAGAACTTCCTCTTGAAAGAATTGAAAGGGTTGTTGGCCCAGAATGGACACTGTAGCCGGGAAAAGCCTCAGCCGCAATCAGGGAGCTCCTGTCTCCCCCACCCCTAGAGATTTACCTGTAACTCTATATCCCACCACCCTTTGGAATCTGCTCCTGGCACCAAACGTGTGCCAATGAAATACCTGTGCATCTCTAATGGCCCTAGGGCACTACCCTAAGCTTAGGTTACTTATATCCCCCCCACGCCACGTGTCTGAGAGAGAGATCGCCAGACTTTAGAGGCCGGGGGAGTCATTCATCTCTCTCCGTGTTCTCAGAATAAAGGTCTCTTTTTGTTTTATACTTCTCATCTTTTGGAAATACTTTTCATCTTTTGGAAATAATCCTATCATTTGGTGCCATGACTCAATCAGCAGGTGATTGACTCCTGGGACAAACACACCCAGTTGAGTCCCCAGCCGATTCACAAACCGGTAACATCCTGGCTTAATTCTGAGCTTTTTCTTCTGCCGAGAGGCTTTTCACTTATCGCCGGCCGCCTCCACGCACCACCAACCAGATTGATTTCAGGTGAGCACGCTCCGGGAAACTTGTGGCCCTGGGCCAGGCCCCAGTGGACTGTTCTCCCCTGTTTGCGTGGGTCTGTGGCATTTTCACGTCTCTATGACAGCCCTAACCAGGGTTTTTTTCTGGGCTAGCCTGTGTCCACACTAAAATCTCTCACGTTCTTTGGGTTCTGACAGCCCAAAGCAGAGATTTTTGGACCGCCCTCACTGAACAAATCCCTCTTCCCTTAAAAGCCTCACGCTTTCACCGGCAAAACTGCTGCTGACCTCACGTAAACTCCACTTGTGAATTTCTCAGTGACGACTAGAATACACGAGTTTTTGGAACCTCACCGGCTGTGTGGCGCCACAGAATCAGTGACGACTTATTCTCTGGAACAGTTTTTTTTCTTGCCTAAATCAGTCATGGGAAACATATTTCCTAACTCCCAAAAAACGCTTTACAATGCTTAATTTCCAATTTACGTACTTTAAAAATTAAAAGTACCATAAAAACTAAACTATTAACTTTTTACTGCCAGGAAGTTTGGCCCACGTACCCACTCCTTGGCAAACGTTGGCCCAGGGAAGGAACATTTGATGTCTCCATCCTGCAAACACTGTGTGATTTTTGCCAAGCCAGTGACAGGGTGATAGAGCTGCTGTACATCAGTCATTCCTAGTTCTGAGAACAGGCTCCTCTCTCATTAAGTCCTGTAATCCCACGCAAATGGTCTTGGCTAGCTCTGCTGTGACCCAACCTATTTCATCTCCCTAGGATATGCTTGATGATGTTCCTCCGATTTTTTCTTCTCTGCCCCACCCTCCCACTTTTCCCCAAATTGATTCCTCATCCTTATCTCGCTCCCCACCGCCATCCCCCTCCCCCGCCCCTGGTCCGTCTGCACCGAAATTACCTCTCACTGCGCGATCCTCTCTCTCTCTGCCTTCCGCGATACAGGCTTCTCCCAGCAGCTCTGCTCTGCCCTCTGACACTTTCTCACCGCCCGCCCACCACACTAGATCACGTTCATTGTGCCCTCCAGCAAGCAGCGTGATTTTTCCATCTTGTGCGGGGAACAGTCATCATGCAGCAGCTCTCCACCATGTGACAGGGCGCCGCCATGTTCAGGCGGTTGCCGTGGCGACAGGGCACGCTATGTTCAGGCAGTTTCCGTGGTGATGGGGCACCGCCTTGTTCAGGTGGGTCACATGGCAACAGGGCACTGCCATGTTCGGTCAGGTACCATGGCGACAGGGTGTCGCCATGTTCCTTCAAGTCTCAGGGTCAATGGGCGCCCTCTTGTGGCTCCTCTTGTGAACAGCAACAATCCTCTCACTGCAAGGCACACAGCGTGATGCCATCTACCCGTGTTCCCTCATCCCAGGGTGAGCGGCAACTGCTCTATAGCCACTCTGCAGATAATTGCTCACACGCATCTACTGGCGGATAGCTGCCCAGTGGCACTCTCCTCCACATTCTTCTCCTCAGGCTCTGCTAACCACTTCGAGAACAAGCTGGCCCAGAAGGGCTGGTCAATATCCACATGCCTTCCTCCCTCTCTGATCTA